TCCATCTCTGCACAGGAAGGACGATTCACTGGCCCATGCCGCAAAGGAGAAAGCTGATCTGCTAGGCTCTTTATTTGCGCCCAACTCGACTCTTGATGACGGGGGGTGTACGCCGCCGACCATCGCGCGGTGTGAGTGCTCCATGCCGGAGGTGCGGTTTACACAGCGCTCGGTTCGCAAAGCACTCCCTCCCTCCCTGGACATCCACAAGTCGAGTGGGCCTGACGGTATCCCCCCCAAATGTGTCGTTCATGGGCTGCGGTAGTCATTTAACATCAGGTGAAAAGTACGCCCGTTTGCTCCCTCTTCTATAAAAAAAAAATTAAACACAATATAGCTGCAGCGTGGCTTTATCACGTATATAACTTCATGAGTCCTCGGACTGTTTCATGAATCTAATGCTTATTAAAAATAGTTTAATTTATTAAACATACAATATGGATATGTTCTGTAAACCATGGACATTTGCCAGAAATTCAAATGTAGATGGCCCTAGTTGCGAAGTTCCTGTGGGCTTAGATGCAATATGCCTCACACCCTAAAGTACTGAATTTCTTACCCTGGAGTTTATTTTCTCATAAATTTCGTACCTGTAACCAACAAAAATGCATATTGTAGTTCAAAGTAAGCATCAATAATATTATAACTAGTCTTGCCATAAATACTGTTACATAAAAACTTTTCTTTTTTTCAACTTTTTAATTATTTTGAATTTGGAACGCGTTCAGTATTTTTAAAAGTTCTTTCGATTTCGCGCTATTATGTGTAATAATTTTTTCGTGTTCATTATCAAGTACCTAACAATATGGAAAGGGGTGTTAAAGAAAACAGGATTGCGGTGATCGCCTTGCACAAAGTGGGTATGGAGCCGTCGGTCATATTCCAGACACTTCAAAAAGCTTGGTATCAGCCGTATGTTCGTATATCGTACTATGATATAATATACTATCGTATAATTTTAATAGTTTACAAGGAAAAGAAAAAATAATGATACCTGAGTGAAAATAATGTTATTTCGATATAAAAGTGAAAACGAGATGGCCATGAAATGTATGACGTTCAGACGCAGTATTAGATTACTGAATACAGTACTCCCCGATGTAAGAACTTACATCGTCAACAAAACACTTTATTTCAAAGCGAAGAATCATAAAAGATTTTTTTAATATATTATTGTCCGTAACGCTGTAGGAAGTCATTAAAATACGACTAAAAGTATTTTTATGGAACAATAAATTTTCTTCGAAGTTTTCTCTTTTATATTTATGAGAACATATTTTATTTTTTCTTATTAAAAAAAGAACAAGTAGAATGGACGCCTTCAATGAATTGTAAGCCATTTAAGCTGTAAATGACATTGGAAAATATATGGTCATACTTTAGTAAACAAAAAATGAAACTGAAACAGTTATTCAAAAGGAGTTCCAACAGCAGTAACTTGGGAAAGGTCTGGTAACACACATCGTCATAATATTTTTAAAATTATCAACAACGCGCGTATTTTGTCTTTTAATACTGTTTAATACTTATGTAAATAATAATTATGCGTTTTTTATCAATAAGTTATACATATTAACGTGTTAATAAATTTTTCCCATTTTTAAAAACAAACAACTAACAACGAATTTTTACTGGATCCTTTTTACTTTAAGCAATGCATTCAATCTAAATACTCAGGGATGACAATGCACGTGCATTTTGATTCTTAATCGAAGACACATAGAAATCTACCTACCATCATGTGGACTGTGTACTCGTTTGCCACCCCTATACTATAAAAGTAATAAAATTTAGTAATGGAACCATCACTAACAAATACTTTTGGAACGTTTAGTACGCAACAATTCGCATGTCTAGTGAGACGCTTACCTGTACACCGTTACACGTGGCTCGCATACATATTCGGCTCATACATCGCCACGCGGCCTTGGTACATAGGAATTTGATCGTTAAATTTGAATCGAAAGCTCGACGCGACGTTTCGTATCAAGAAATACTCGTATCGTTCAGATTCAAAAGAAAGAATTCATTTTATGGCGTTCAAATGAGTAATATACACAAAAATCGGCTTACGCTAGCTTAAGTATGGTGTATAAATATTACATTTTTTTATATAACTGATGTGATTTACAAACTTACAGCCTACCTTTTTTATAAACAATAAGGGTGACAAACGAGCACACAGTCCACTTGATGGTAAGTGGATGCTGTGGCCTATAGTACAATAGACATCTACATTTATTTTCGATTAAAAATCAAAACGCAGATGTGTTGTCACCCTTGACGACAAATATGGAATGCCTCGTTTCCAGTAATAAAGGGTCTCCGGTTCTTTACACTTCCCATACGAAACACAGCAGTATTAAGCTGCTATTTTACGCTGGTATTCTGTGAGAGCGATTTAGAATTAGAATTGCAGTACGTGACCTAGAGCCACGCGGCAGCTATATATTATGGTTGTATCACGAATGGGTCGGCTCGACCAGGGAAGACCACGCTCTCACAGAATACCAGCGTAAAATAGCAGCTTTATACTGCAGTGTTTGTGTGTGTTTGTTTTTCAGAGACCCTTTTTACTGGAAACGAGGCATTCCGTCTCAGTCCTCAGGGGTGACGACGCATCTGCGTGTTGATTCTTAATCGAGGATAAATGTAAATGTCTATGGGCCACAGCATCCACTTCCCATCAGGTGGACTGTGTGCTCGTTTATCACCTGCATTCTATAAAAAAGAAGTCCTAAAGAAAAAAACTTTTAATTTTTCATTTCATCAACAATTATGAAATCTATTTTTTAACTCGACTGCCCGAGGAGGAAACTTCTGATTTTGGAGTTTGAATGTATGTTGTATTGTTGCACAGATTTGTTGCTTCTTTTGTGACCTTCGAAACAACTTCTCACATGTTGAAGTGCGATACGTTGTTAATCTTTATTATTCTTGATCCATGTGTTCAGAGGATTAATTTTAACGTTCGTGACGGAGAGAATATTCAGGGAGTTTGCGAAATAAATTTGCAAGGATTTAATAGTAGACATAAAATAAATGTACAATGAATTATGGAATTGATAAAATATAATTAAAATATCTTCACCAGGTATAATAAAATACAAAATATAATTTAAAATATTACGGGCTTTCTGTAAGTTCCAAAGTGAAGTCATTGGTGTTATATATTAAAAAAATTAAATTAAAAATATAGCCTAACAATATAACCCAATATATACTATATTTTATTTATAGATCATTGTTATTGGATTTTTTGTTTTGCTTTTACTAATAGCAGTTTATTTGTTGGATGGAATGGAAATACCTACGCATGCTTTGATTACTAGCACTGATTACAACTTCGTAGTTTTCCATTTTTGGCATATTTATAGATTAAGAGCAACATACTTGCATACAGTCCACTTTATGGTAAGCGAATGCTGTGGCCCATAGACAACTTTATTTATCCTTGATTAAGAATCAGAATACACAAGCGTTTTCAGTACTGAGAACTAAGATAGAACCCCTCAATACTAGGCTAAAGGAGTTTCCTTCGTTTCTCTACACACACTATACGAAATACAGTAGCATAAAACTGCTTTTTACGGTGGTACTCTATCAACTATTATCCTCTCGTCTGTGAGGTGGCTGATTTCTGCCATTACTACACGGTCGCATTTCGCGGCTAAATTCGTTTATTTCTTTATCTTTCTCTGTGGAATAAGACCGTGACTATGTACATTATGATTCTGTATGATATACGTTACTACTAGTAACGTCTATAGAAAAAATAAAAAGAAACTTATCATTGAAGTTCCGTTGATTTCGTTGAATAGACGTGTGTTAATTTTGCTTTTAAAATTGTGAATTACAGGTTATTATATCGGATATCATGGAAAATATAATGGAGCGGCAAGTTATCTTTAATTATTTATCTACTTTTCGAGGCTTGTTGGCAATTTTCAATAAAAATTTTGTAATTGAATTGACTCAGTCCTAGGAATGACCACCGTAATGTCGCAAGTTTTTACTTTTTAAGTGACTTAATTGCTTTCTGTGTCAATATATTCTGTGCAATATATTGTGAAACTAATATTTAAGCTAAATACGAAAGCACAAAGTATACTTTGATGTAAAAAGTGAGAAATTGTTTCAAAAGTATGTAACCGTCGTTAAGTGGCTGATATCCTCCAACTTCAGAATAGGTTTGACATTTGTTTTGGTAACGATGGAGAATATGGATAAGCCTTTTGCAGTGATGGGAAAAATGGTTTATTAGAAGTATTTAAAAATTAAAAATGCTAATTATTTGATAATATTTTAGTTTGAAGTAAAAAATATATATATATATATATATATATATATATATATATATAATAGTTTTGAATTAAAGTATTTAAGTACAAAATTTAAAATATGTATTAAAAAAACACTTTTTTAAATACATTTTTAATCGATTTGTTGAGAGATCAGTGATTAATTGTTTTGTTTGAAATATAAAAAAATACTTACAACCAGTTTGACTTGCGATCTCGGTATGTATGACCATTTTGAACATTACAAAGACTATTTTTATTTAAAATACGAAATAAAAATAGGTAATAGGTATTTCATTTAAATACATGTATATTAACTTTTCTGGTACTTTAGTCTACTTTTTTGTACTGGACTGGAACATTCACGAGGCATTGGTATTTGAAAACTAAAGTATTTTTGCGTCTTATATTTTCAGACATAAATTGCAGATATTTAATCTTCTTTCTGACCTAAAGGTGGTATTTTGATCTTGGCAGCTACTGTTCGGCAGCGACTGCTGGGAATCGCGGCATCGCTCTGTATGGGTTTATATGCTGCCTTTCCGTTATAAACAGAATGAGTCGCTTGCCGAGATCGAAATTCCACCTAGATAAAGTGCTTTTTATTTAAAAAAAATGTTCTTGTGTTTTCTTGGCTTATTTTCTTTTTCTTTTGCATGTTGGTACTGTCGTTTATACAGTCAGAGGAGTGTCAGTGGCATGGTCCATACACGAGGTGGCACTCGTTCACGCATTAGTGCACGCACCCGCGGTGGTGTTCGCACACGCGGTGGCGTAAGCACATGCGGTGGCACTGCAGGTGTGGCGCTAGATGTGGACGCGGCACTTGTTACGGGTATAGCATATGGTGTGAGCACAATGCGAGGCGGACCAGCGGTACGAGGCGGGCGCGCAAGCGCCCTTGTTACTGGAGTTGGAAGGGGCATGTCAAGACCTTCCCTCTCAGAACCATAATCATCGCATTTTTACTTACGTTCTAAGATCTTCTATACTGATCAATTTTTGTATATACTAGAAATTATTACTATTTTAGCCTATTTTGCGCGATGATAGAAGATGTACAGCAAGGGTATGGGTTGGAACGTCCTTTACACGCTAAGAAGGGGGGAGATTAGGGATGACTAGTGTCGAGACAGCTAGATTAGATTATTTCGGTTATTTCCATAGCATAATGTCATATGTGATTTTGCTATGGGGAAATGCGGCATTCATATAAATAAATAATTAACCTTTGGCCTCTCAGTATATCTTGATTTATTTTCACAAAAACAAAAGTAGTTTTAGTAAAAAAGTGACATATACTTTGTGAACACTCACAAACACAAGCTTGTGATACTAGTTTCTTTACTCCACAGATTCAGTAATCCATTCTTGGGGCAATGTATACGCTGTTACAACAAAGTCCCAGAAAATATACAAGGTCTCTCTATTTCTAAGTTTAAATATTAATTTTACAAAAAAAAAAATAAAAACTAAAGTTAAAAAAAATACATATATAACCCAAGTCCCCTCTATATTCTCTCTTTCCAACAGTTTTTTCAACCAGTGGTAAAGTAAAAAATTACTTTCAATAGATTACATGTTATCTATATTGAATAAATAATACTCTATTATATTATATTTTAACCATGACCCGAGTATAAACATCTACGTTCAACACGCAAATGGATACTCAGTGCACAAATGGATATACCTGGGACATATGGTGTATGAGGCAGGACCACCAACTGCTACGCTACTCGGCCATAAGAGCAGTAGAACAACGGGAATAATTTATTTATGTTTACTTTTACTCTGTTCTGTAAGCCGTGTAGTGGCGGTTGAGAATATCCACTACCCCATATCTTCCCGTGGGTGTCGTAAGAGGCGACAGAGGGACACGGAAGAGATATGGGCAGCAGCATCTTCCTAATAACAACAATAACACAATAAAAAACTGCGGTTGCCAACCTGCTCGCCAAGCGTGGCAACTCTGGCAAATATCCCCCCATGAGCCACGACGCAAATAAACGGCCCCCAGTCCCCGGCGGCCCCGCTATTTCTGGCTACGGTGGCGACCATGGTAACGGCGGGGCAGGGGGTGCTAAGAATCTCCGGTGGAGGTTCGGTTGCCACCTACGACGACTCGACCTGGCAACGTATAACGCACGCACCCTGAGGACTGACGAGAAGATACTGGAGCTGGAAGAAGAGGTAGACAAGTTGCGCTGGCATATTATTGGATTATCTGAGGTCCGAAGAGAGGGGGGAGGACACGGTAATCCTCGAGTCCGGCAACTTATTCTATCACCGGGAGGGCGACCATCTGTCCCAAGGAAGTGTCGGATTTATCGTCCACAAGCCTCTCGTCAACAACGTTGTAAAGATTGGGAGTGTGTCGACGAGGGTCGCGTACCTCATACTCAGTATCACCAAACGGTATTCGCTGAAGGTCATACAGGTCTACGCACCAACCTCGGCACATCCCGATGAGGAGGTGGAGGAAATGTATGAGGATATTTCTAGAGCCATGCATTTCTCCAAAACCCACTACACGGTGTTGATGGGAGACTTCAACGCAAAACTAGGCACGAGAGAAGGCGGTGAGCTGAAGTTAGGGAAATTTCGAGTAGGGCAACGGAACCGTAGGGGCCAGCAGCTGGCTGACTTTATGGAGAAAGAGGGACTCTTTATGATGAACTCTTTCTTCCAGAAGCGGCCCCACAGGCAGCTGTACACATCATCGTTGGAGCCACACGCAAGTGTGAGTAACGATCCAAGAGCAAATCTTACCCGACACTATTCCGATGATATCCCGGACGTCAGTCTGAGCGAGATTAGAATGGCTCTCCAGCACCTTAAAAACGGCAGGGCCCCAGGCGAGGATGGAATTACAGCGGAGCTTCTGAAAGCGGGTGGAACACCGGTACTTGAAGTACTTCAGAAGCTCTTCAATTCCGTCCTCCATGGTGGCACTACTCCGGAGGCGTGGAGCAGAAGTGCGGTGGTCTTGTTCTTTAAGAAAGGCGACAACGCTCTCTTGAAGAACTACAGACCGATTTCCCTTCTGAGCCGCGTCTACGTGCTGTTTTCGAGAGTCATTACGAATCGTCTCGCTCGAATTGACGACTTCCAGCCTCCCGAACAAGCCGGTTTCCGAAAAGGCTTCAGTACCATAGACCACATACATACCCTTCGGCAAATTGTACAGAAGTCCGAAGAGTACAATCTGCCACTTTGCCTGGCGTATGTGGACTATGAGAAAGCCTTTGATTCCGTCGAAATTTGGGCGGTGCTACAGTCCCTTCAGCGGTGCCAAGTTGACTGTCGGTATATCGAAGTGCTGAAGTGTTTGTACAGTATGGCTACGATGGCTATCCGAGTACAGAACCAGAGTTCGAAACCTATCCAACTGCAGAGAGGTGTAAGACAGGGTGACGTTATATCCCCGAAACTCTTCACCGCTGCGATGGAAGACGTTTTCAAGCTACTGGACTGGAAAGGATACGGTATTAACATCAATGGCGAGTACATCACTCACCTTCGATTTGCCGACGATATAGTCCTTATGGCAGAATCGCTGGAGGACCTTAGCACTATGCTCAATGACCTCAATGGTGTCTCCCAACGGATAGGTCTTAAGATAAACATGGACAAAACAAAGATCATGTTCAATTGTCCATGTTACACTTATGCCGGTAGTTGTTGGGAGCACTATGCTCGAAGTTGTTGACGAGTACGTTTACCTGGGACAAATAGTCCGACTAGGTAAGTCCAACTTCGACCGAGAGGTTAATCGACGGATTCAACTCGGCTGGGCAGCGTTCGGGAAATTACGACACATCTTCTCGTCAGGTATACCTCAATATCTGAAAACTAAAGTGTACAACCAGTGCGTGTTGCCAGTGATGACTTACGGATCAGAGACGTGGTCCTTCACTGCTGGCCGTATGAGGACGCTCAAGGTCGCTCAGCGAGCTATGGAGACGGCTATGCTCGGAGTTTCTCTGCGTGATAGACTCAGAAATGAGGATATCCGCAGTAAAACCAGAGTGACTGACATAGCCCAACAGATTAGTAAGCTGAAGTGGTAATGGGCCGGCCATATAGCTCGAAGAACCGACAACCGATGGGGAAAAAAGGTTCTCGAGTGGCAGCCTCGTACCGGTAGGCGTAGTGTAGGGCGACCCTCCACTAGATGGAGTGACGACCTGGTAAGACATGCAGGAAGTCGATGGATGCAGGTGGCTCAGGACCGTGCTTTGTGGCGTTACTTGGGGGAGGCCTATGTTCTCGAATATTCTCGTTGAATCTCGGAAACGGCTCCAACGATTTTCATAAAATTTTGTGTGCAGGGAGTTTCGGGGGCAATAAATCGGTCTAGCTAGGATCTATTTTTAGAAAATGTCTTTTTGTCCGTGTTTTTAGGCAATAGAAGTAAATGAAAAACTGCTACAATATAGTTAGAATAAGAAGGTAAATTTTGACAGTTTATTCAGCAGATCACAAATAGCTTAATTGGTATATTGGGCGGTCACAAAATCGTAATACCATGGTTCGAGCCCAGGCCGAGCGACCGACTTTTTTAATTTTTTTTAAGTTCCTTTCTTTTTTTGAGAAAATCAATTTTTTCGAGCCCTTTTTTTAGTATTTTTAAAAACACGAAAATTTAAATTAAACTAATTGCACTCATGATTTTTTATTCAAATAACCAGTTCAGTTTTTTCTATTATGTCGCTAAGATCAAAAAATATTCATCAGTATGTAATTTGTATCTAAATATAATTTCCAAAACACACGAATTAAAAAAAAAACCGAGGTACAAAAGCTCGGTCAACCGGGTACTTAAATATTACATCGGCAAAGTCACGCTAACGTCCACTTACTTTTTACAAACCTAATGTAATTTTTAAAAAATCCTTGCTCATTTAAAAGTCAACAGATTTACTAAAAACAAAATTGGTTGACCCTGCAGGCCATCCCTGGAACTTCCCGCTAATTTCAAATACAAAGCGCTCCGAATTTTACCAAATTATGTTGCGAAATCTCGAAGTTATGTTAAAAAAAAAAAAGTTTCTTTTCGAATTCTTTCTCCTTCGATATCTAACGAAAGAATAAAACGGCATTCGAAGTCATGAGGTTAAGAGCTGATTAGTGTTTGAAATCGATCGGTAAAGCCGTTTAAAAGTTATGCCAAAAAAAAACAGTTTGTCAAATTTTTTAATTTTGAGATTTCTCAAAATCTACTCGTCCGAATGAGTTCATATTATCACAAAATCTATTCCACATTGAGATCTTTAGAACGCACGATCAAGACGTTCAAAAGTTATGAAAGGTTTAAATACACACACACACACACACAGTGAAAACACATCACGGCGACATCTACGACTCGGCAATTTAATATGCTATTCCGTCAGGCGCCTCATCACGCGGTTGCAAAAGATTCATAAATATTTATTGAGCTATAAAAGCGTTTATTGACTTCTAACGTTCTTGAAATCTAAGCTTCACTGAAGTATTACCGCAAAGCTCTAAATATTACATTTGGAACTTGTTTTAAAATTATTTTTCATCAGCGCGTTCATGGGATAGGATTTGCTATAATTACAAAACTTAGTAGGAACGGATTAACATCCTGGACGTATCGTGCCTTTATTTTCTGTCTAATTTTTTGGGGATTTTTCATCTACTATAACCGCGTAATGGCAGCATAAGAATATCCACAAGTCCTAACCCTATATCGTCACGTAGGTGAGGTGACAGAGGAAAAATGAAAAAGGCATGGAATGGGCAACAACATCATCCTAAAATAATAACACCCGCTTGCCAAGCGGGTTTCCTACAGCGTTAAGGATAATAATATATAAAAATCTTTTACGAGTCTTCGCTTTGAAATAAAGTCTTTTGTTGACGATGTTAAGTTCTTACACCGGGGAATACTGTATTCAGTGATCTAATACTGCGTCTGAACA